TTCACCCCTTACCCGTTTCCTCCGGCCGGCCACCTCGACCCCATCCAGTTCCGCCTCCGCCACATCACAACCCTCCTCCTCAGGGATCTCAACCTCAAGAACCTCGCTCCCATCGGCAATACTGGTAGGACTCACTGGGGGTCTCTCCAAAGCCATGCCCTCCTCAGCCCCTGCCATCTCGCCCCTCACTACGCAGTCACCTTCCTGATCAATGGGCACTTGAGCCAAAATGGCTTGAGCCAAAATGGCTTGAGCCGTAGCCAGGGTTTAGGGGGTTTAGGGGTTTAGGGTTTAGGGTTTAGGGTTTAGGATTTAGGGTTTAGGGATTTAGGGTTTAGGGCTTATGTAGGTTAGGACTCCGGGTCCTCCTCCCTCTGCACGATATCACCAAACACTACGCAGCAGCGCTCCGATGCAAGGTGACGACTGATGCCTTGCCCTAAGGCTCTAAGGACTCATATTTTAAGGCTTTTGGGGCTCTAAGGACTCATAGTTCAAGGCTTTTGGGTTTAAGACTTTAGGGTTCGAGGTTTAGGGTTTAAGGGTTTACTTGGAGGCCTAGGGGACTTAGCAAGTCGGTTACAAATAGGATTATAATTGGGGTAACTCCATTTAGGGTACTTATAACTCTACTTATAACCTACTTACTAAGTCCCCTGGGCCTCCAAGTAAGGACTCGTATTTTAAGGCTTTTGGGACCAAAGACCATATCATTTAAGGCTTTTGGGCTATTTTGAGCCTCAGGGTTGACGTTGGGCAGTGGATTAAGGACGTAGTTAGACTTTGCTTATCTGGTCGGGGCCTCAGACTCATGATGACTGCAGTACGACTGCTCTCTACAGCTCTAGATTACATCCTGAAACTGGGTGATTGCAAGCCTTGTGCCTGCTCTTCAAGAGCTAATTGAGGGTCTGATTACTATTAGCACTAATGTAGGGGCCTCAATAATTTTAATAGAGTCTTGGGGTATATTAGATTGTAGCTATATTAAGGAACCCCCAAAAGTAGTTTTCGTAATTATTGAGGCTCCTGTACTAATTTCAGCCTTCTCGTCCCCTGTTTCAGTTTCGGTTTCCCTAAACCCTAAACCCTAAACCCCTTAAACCGTCCGAAAGGTCCTGTCGTCCGACAAGGTAAACCTCAAAACTCACAAGCCCACCCCATGTGACCAACCTGGGAGGGAGGCTCTTGAATGAGGAGTCCCTTAGAATTATATCCCTGTATAGGGGCGGCTTTTTGATAAAGGCTACTTCTTAAGGCCCATACCAGATCTATTTCCGAAAGTCTGGGATCAGCAGGAGGCACCGAGAGCACGCACAGCACCCTCCAGGACTTGCTTTGGCTCTGCCTGACAGGCGGTTCGTCTAACTAGACGAGGCCCGAAACCAGACACCATCCCCGACCCCTGAACCCTAAACCCTAAACCCTAAACCCTAAACCCTAAACCCTGAACCCTAAACCCTAAACCCTAAACCCTAAACCCTAAACCCTAATAAACTCGAAACCCCCCGGCCCAAGCCCTGAAGCCTGAAGCAGCCACACCCTTAAATCCAAAAAAAAAACCTCCGAACTCCTGAACCCTTGATCCCGGAATCTCAAACCTGGTCCGACAGGGTCTTACGGCTTTTTGGGTAATTGTGTAAGTGTTTATAAGGGTGTCAGGTGTAGTGGCCGTCTCGTTGAGAAACGGGATCGAAGGACCTTTCGCGAAAGGTACCATGAACACATCGCCAGTTTCGAAGCTACGTACACGGCTCGAGAACAACTGGATACTCCCCATCAGCAAACCATGACTCCATTCAGCCACATGGGATCTGTAGCAGGACAGGAGAGCGTCTGATCTTTTGTGCCTGAGTCTTCCAGCATTCTGACCCCGAAACCCCCAAATTTGTGAAAAGGCTCCGAAACCCTAAACTCCAAAAGACGCGAAGCTCAATCCTGAAAGCCCCCAGGGGTGAACTCCCGAGCGGGTGGCACCAAAAAGCTTCTACTGGCCTCCAGGAGGTTTAGGGTTTCGGGATGTTACGGTCCATTCAGTCGAAGCAAGACCTTGAAGTCTGCAGGCTTTAAGACATGTTAGTTACTTGCCCGAAACCCCACACAAGGCACTGTCTTCAAAAATACAGATTTGCTTTACCGATGCTGGAATGGGCGTGCTTCCTTCCCATGCGGCCTTGGCAAACGGAGATACATGATCGCCGGGGCGATGAAACAAGTGGGAGTTGCAAACACCTGCCATGCGATGCTGGCCATGTGTCAGGGGAGGAGGTAGGGGTTGAGTCGAGCGTCTTGCCCTGTACCCAACCCTTTAACCGTAAACCCTACCCTTAAACTCTACACCGCAGTAGTTGCTGGCGACTGTCAACTTTCTCAGACCTGCTGTCGACGAGCTCTAGGCTTCGGTGAGCCTAACGACAGCTAGTGCTGGTCTTGAAATACGGAGCTAAGCGTTTGGGATTTAGGGTTTAAGAGTTTAGGGTTCGAGGTTTAGGGATTAAGG